TAGATAGATAGATAGATAGATATATACTTTAATGTCCAAGAAAGAATTCTCATTGACAAAGTAATGATATTACACAACATACATAATTGATGAAATAGAATAAAAAACAAACCTTGCATGTACATTGAATGCAATTGTATCAAAAAATATAAAAAGAGTTCGACACTAACACCATAAGTAACATATGAATAATATGTACTATCTCGTAAATAATAATAATAAAAAAAAACAAGTATAAGTATGAAAATAAGATTGAATAATAATGAAACATCGAAAGTAAAAGAAAGACAGACATAACATATATATATATACAGGGTGTTATTTAAGTACGTGGCCAAACTTGAAGGGGTGATTCTTTGAGTGATTCTAAGACGAAAAGTTCCTATAAACATTGGTCCGGTAATGCTTCGTTTTCAAGATACAGGGTGTCAAAATTTTCAAAATGAATCGTTTTTTTCGTAAATATCTTAATAACCCTTCAACCGATTTTATTGAAATTTGGCAGTGTTATTGAAGGTCGTGAAGGACTAATTTAACCCTAGCTATATCAAAATTATCATGTCCAGTGGCGTCCCGGAAGGCACTGTAACCAATATTTTTGACAGAAAAAATGTGCGGCACTGATTTTTTCGCAATTTTTGTATTTGTTTCACATTGAGCAACTAAAATTACAACTTTTTCATATCTAGATTTTTTTCCGTATCTTGCTTTGTTTTTGAGAAAAAACATAAAAATCATTTCATTGCACATCCCTGTGACAACACAATAAAACATTTCAACTACAAAACCATCAAAAACTGGGGTCTTACTAATATTTTTTTATAATAATACTCTATTCTATTCTTGGAATTTTCTATCAAAATTAATGCAATGAAAAAACAAAAAATATGTATGTATGAATTGCAGCACTTGCCTTCGGCTCTTGGCTTCGGCTCGTCACAGGGATGTGCAATGAAGTGATTTTAATGTTTTTTGTCAAAACAAAGCAAGATACGAAAAAAATTCTTGATATAAAAAAGTTGTAATTTTTGTTGCTCAATGTGAAACAAATACAAAAATTGCAAAAAAATCAGTGGAGCACATTTTTTCTGTCAAAAATATTGGTTACAGTGCCTTCCGGGACGCCACTGGACATGATGATGTTGATATAGTTAGGGTTAAATTAGCCCTTTACGACCTTGAATAACACTGCCAAATTACAATAAAATTGGTTGAAGGGTTATTAAGATATTTACGAAAAAAACGATTTATTTTAAAAAATTTGACACCCTGTATCTTGAAAACGAAGCATTACCGGACCTATGTTTATATGAACTTTTCGTCTTAGAATCACTCAAAGAATCACCCCTTCAAGTTTGGCCACGTACTTAAATAACACCCTGTATATAACATGATAACATGAAAACAATAACATCATACTGATAGTACCAGCAATTTGTCATCATAGTACTCTTGTAGCAGTAAATCCTTTACCGATTTTCTGAACTTTTCGACATTCCTCATATGCTTCAGCTCCTCTGGTAAGTGATTGAAAATCAGTTTTCCTTCGTAAATATTGGAATGTTTTGTCAAAGTCAGCTTTGGTATTGGTAGGTAAATATTAGAGGTTTGTCTTGTGTTGTGACTATGAGGCCTATCTCCAATATACCCAATTCCTAACAAAGTTGTATTTATTCAGGTTTCTGTAGTTAAGTCCTGTTAATAAATCTGTTCAGTACATAAATCTTCAGGAGGCATGATGATATCCAATGGAGCAAGGTGCGTGCATGATAAGCCAAAGGACCCGGGTTGAATCCCTACTCGACCTACAACTTTTTTCTTTTGTCGAAAGGATGTCCCTGGGATATCCTTGGGACGTCCTAGGGATATCCTTTCATCGTACTTGGTACATCCCAGGGACGTACCAGAAGGACATCCCTTGGATGCCTTTTTTTGTGACCAGCGGATGTCCCTGGGACATCCCTAGTATGTACGTTGTCCCGACAAAGGACATCCCTGGGGTGTCCTAGTATAAAATCAGGGACGTCCCTGGAAAGTCCCTAGGATGTACTGGTGTTGTTAGAACTATAACCTGTCAGGCGTTGTCGGTCGAATTTCGCAACACCCTGTATAAATAAGACCTTGTGTTTGTGGTCGACGTAGCTCTGTTTCGATATAGAACCGAAAGTGATATTCAATTGTTTTTTCATGGAAGATATATGGGTTTAAAGGAACTCCATCTCAGAGTCGAATGTCAAAAGTCAAACATAAAAGACAACTGAATGACGACCTGACCTGTGATATATTATCGTTCTGAGATAGTATACTTGTCCATTGTTCCCCACCTTCCTCTGGAGGTATGAATGAATATAATACTCGTTTTTCAATCCGTTTTCCAAGAGCTAGAGGGTTATTACTGCATTCATCTTGCCTCATTGACGACAATAAGCTATTATGGAAAATAATAAAATTGCTTCATTCTTGAAACAACCCTGATGAACCCGCCACTGAACAAACCGATATATTCCAGCGCAACCCAGAGCCATACTTCACCAAATTGATTAGAAGACGATCGATTTTCATTTCAAAATAATCACTCATCAACGTGAAACTGCTAATGCCGTAATGCTGACCGTTAATTTCGGACAATGGCCGATACGTCATCGCCCCCGAAAGACGTAAATCTCGAAATTATTTTCCCACGTCGCCGTAAATCAGGGAGGGCCGTCATAAACTCTTCACCTTATCATTAATGGATCGATACATCGAGGAATCGACGCTTCATATCTACTGCTGTCCAGTCAGTTCATGTTCAAGCTTTTGGATTTCCAGTATCTAAACGCCATGAGAATAATGGAATAGAGTATCAACTACGAAATAGCCACGATGCTCAAAGAATGAAATGTTAAATGTTGAATAAATACAAAAAGCTCAGTCATATCCACACAATTTCCATAAAATGAACAACAATGGTTTTAATGAGAAAAACACCTACTTTCCTGGCTAATGCCAAAGATTACAGAACCTGTAGTCTATGATAATGCCACGCAGAACATTGAATCTTATCCTCCCGAAATTTATGCATCGACTCGTATAAACGAATACTGATACAAGTGATTCTTTCCTGAATGCCTATTGATTTCAATCCAGCCAGGCCACGCTAGACACCTATAGATGGGTTTCGAGATCTTTGACTCTCGACTCTCATCAGTGCAGGGCAGTCTCCAGCCAGTAGTCCTAAGACCGTCGGCTAAGCGTAGCCTAGCCAAACAAATATTCACTCCGCATTATATTCTCTCAGAGGCGCCCTCTATAGACAACATGGAAGCAACGCCATCGAGTAGAAAAGGAAAGAAACACTCCAAAACTGAAATTCTTATGCGGGAGTGGCTGAATGAAATGTTAAATGAATAAAAAAAGCTGAAAGTGATATACACACAATGTTCAGTAAATGAGCAACAATAAAGGAGACCACTGATTTTTCACAACGACATCATCTTGAGCTCTATAACGAAAAACTATCAATAATATACATTTGAATTTTCTCATTCATACTAGGGCGATAAAAAAGTGAATTGATGTACATCCATTTCAAAACACACACTTCCTGCGCCATTCAAAATGGTGTCAATGGGGGAGACCACTGATTTTTTGAAACGACATTATCGTGAACTCTATACTGAAAAAGTACCAGTGAATTAATTTCGAATTTTTTTATTCATGCTAAGACGATGAAAAAAATAAATTAGAATATGTCCATTTCAAAACACACAATTCCTGCGCCATTTGAAATTTTGTCGATTCATTGGTGTGACTGGTGCGACGTCTTAGTCCCAACACGCCTATTGTCCTTGAACTCACCAATCACACTGCAACACTGCAGAATAACGAGGTGTCAGAGAGAGATAGCTACAGTGCGGGACTAATACGTCACGGCTCCACCATTATGGTTGGCTTTTCGAAATAACGAATGAAATATGCTGATTTCAAAACGATATAGATTCGATTCCCTTCAACTTCAACTCATAATATTGATTGTAGATCAAACGTGAATCATGATTCGTCGATTGAAAGAGGTTTGCACGGATTTCTCCCCTCAGTGGTCTTCCCCATTCATTGGTGTGACGTATTAGTCCCGACACGCCTATTGTCTTCGAGCCGACCAATTACACTGCAACACTGTAGAATGGCCAAGTATCAGAGAGAGATAGCTACAGTTCGGGACTAATACGTCACGGCTCCACCTTCATATCTGCTTTTCGAAATATCGAATGGAATATACTGATTTCAAAACGCAAACAATTCGATTCTCTTCAACTTTTACGAATAATATTGATTGTACATAACATGTGAATCATGCTTCATCGATTGAAAAAGGTTTTGACGGCTTTTATCTCTCAGTGGTCTTCCCCATTGTAAATTTTCGGGAGGATGTAATTCAAAGTTCTGCGTGGCATACGCCAGGAAAGTAGTTGTTTTTCTCCAGAAATCTAGCATTTTTGTTCATTCTATGAACATTGTGTGGATATGACTTTGAGCTTTTTTATTTATGGAATTCAGTATGTCTGAAAAAGTTGGCAACATATGGACAATTTTCTCATTATCAGTTATAGGAAAAAAGTAATTCTTCATAAAAAGTGGTGCACGGCCTAAAACCAGAATGGCGAATATAAAATATTAATTTTTTCCAGGAGTGAAGTATTTTTAGTTTTGCCAATTTCGAGAATTGTTTCCGATAAAAGTTGAGTAGTAAGAGTGTATAATCTCTGGTAGAAATAAAAACTCTTCGATAGATAGATAGTTTGAAATACTGCTAGTTCGCTGATACAAACAATGTTGTATATTCAATAATAACCTGATACTTGATACAGGGTTATTCACTCTGTATGTAGGAACGAAATACATAAACACACTGTATAAACTGGTTTATCGTTGATATTTCTTTACTATTGATCGATGTATTACTTATTCAATTCTCGAGAAAAAAAATGTGTGTGGGGATGAAAAGTTGATTCACTTACTTTCTTTTGAAGCTGGCGCCACACACCGAACACAGGTACGGCCTTTCACCGGCAGTCGGAACAATCAGCTTCCCCCTCTTCTTTTCGTGATTCTTCAAGTGGAACTGAAGATTATTTTTTCTGGCGAAGGACTTGTCGCATATTCTGCAAATGACATTCTTTTAACTACAGGGTCCGCCATGAAGTGTAACGTAACATAAATGCTCTGGATTATTGCTTGCGAAAAAAATTGAGATTGTTTCGTGTCATATTTTACAAAAAAAGTTCAGATACAGTATGGTGCAAATGAAAGGAATAATACTTACATTTCTAGCCAAACTGTCTATTCATGAAAGATTCTCTAATACACGTCAATTTTTATTTTCAATTTTCCACATTCATGAGTGAGAATTGAATATACAGGGTGATCCACGTTTGATTTCTGACGTCGGCGACAATTTTTTCAAATCAAACATCCTGTACCGGGATATGCACACTAGAGGGCACTAACTCAGATTTCAGGAAATAGTTTTCATCTCACAGTTTTCTTGGAGATTACATCAACTTTCGATTTTCAAATGAAACACCCTATATTTCGTTCCGTAATCGGTTAGAGATTAATATAACGAATTCCACAATACCGGGTTTGTTTGGGTTATTTCAAACGATTACAAAAATATTCACGTTCAAACTTTCTATGAGCTCAATGGGTGTGACGGCGCAATATGTATGGAATCTTTGTTCTCTGTCACACTCATCAAGCTTATGGTAACTTCGAACGCGATTATCATCGTAATTGTTTAAAATAACCCAATCAAACCTATGGTATTGTTGAATTGGTTATAATGATCTCTAATCGATTATGGAATGAAATACAGAAACTTCCATTTGAAAATCGAAAGTTGATATCATTTCCAGCAAAACCGGAAGAAGGAAAAAATACTTGAAATGTGAAATAGAAATATAAAGCTACAAAATCAAAGAAGAAGAAGGGGGTAATCCATGATTCAGTGTCACCTGGTATATCATTCAATTTTTGGAATCTCCATGACAAGCTGAATTCACAGATACATCACACATAGGATTTGTTTCCTGTGCGTTCGTTGAATTGAGTGCACTCGTGAAGTCGTGGATACATTCGTTTATAATAGCCGAGCTATCCATTTTTAACAGTAACCCAACAGTGAAAATGTTTTAGTTCAGTTAGTAGGCCTCGAACTCAATGGCCGGCCACCATTTCTAACTTTTGTTTTGAAATATTCTTGTTCACCCAATCTTTGCACAATCGAGCTATCCATTTTTAACAGTAACCCAACAGTGAAAATGTTTCAGTTCAGTAGGCCTCGAACTCAATGGCCGGCCACCATCTCTAACTTTTGTTTTGAAACATTCTTGTTCACCCAATCTTTGCACAATCCTCAAAATTGTTTTAGAATTTGGAACGCGTTAAGCAAGCACCATAATTATCTTCATAGCGAACATTCCGCCATTTCTTACTCAGTCGAAATTAAGAACAAAATTGGTCATGGCTCCTAAAATAGAGTCACTGATGGAATAATCTTCTCAAAAAATCGAACTTTTCGGAAACAGTTCAATTATTATTCGTATCTATACGCTTCATTAAATGCTTTTGTTTTTTCATCGAAAAGAATGCAAGTAGGAAGGTTGTCTTCGAATACTAATGACCCATCTTCTAAAAACACCCTTTACAACTATAGTAGAAATGTAGAAGTATATCAGAGAAACCGAAACCTGTGAGGCAGGTAGTTTCCAAAATACAGCTGGCGTCTTTCATTAGTTAACCACCTGCTACATCAAACGAGCAATAAACCACTGAAATAGGACGAGAAATTAAAAAGGGTATTACAAAATCAATTTTGATTCGGTTCTTTCTAGATCTGGAAAAAACAGTTTTACTGAATATGGTCCTGTAGGACAAAACATGTTCCACGAAGGACTTGTGCTAGAAGACAGATGCCAAGATTCTGCAATATTTTTTTTCTGCAACCGACACAAAAGTCGTCCATTTTGATACCAAATTTAGCTCTTAAATTGACGTTTCTATTACTGACACAAAAATAGGTATGTTGCTAGGCAACATATTTAGTTCCTAGGAGCTAAAGTTGAACTTTTAGTTCCTAGGAGCTAAAGTTGAACTTTAGCTCCTAGGAACTAAAAAGGAAGTACTGAACGTCATCAAGTATAAACAACATTGTTACTGTTGGTTATTTGGGTTGAGACGCATACCTGATTTGTTTCCGATTTCGGCATATTTGGCAATTCATACCCATGCTGGAGATATAAATACACCTTATTATAGTTGAGTATTGAAATTATAAACATCTCAGTTAAGTATTTTTGTTTTGATCAGGAAAGCCTTCAAGATTCAAATACTTGCTGATGGATCTGTATTTCATTCGTTATTCTCGGGATGGATAACTTGTTTTTGAATAATCACGGCAAGCAAGAGTTTTTTGTCTCAAACAACGATATTGTTTACCTTCATTTGATTATCAAGCGAAGCAAACATTGTATTATGGAGAGGAATAAATAATCGCTATTTGTTGATATATTCTCGCTAACCTAACATTCTCCAAGTCTTGTTCCTATAGCTGGCACTGGCGCGGTATTTGCCATTAGAGCACCTGATCCATACACAAATATGTCACTCTGTGATTGTATTTTTATTGAAACCACAATTCCAACATCCTTGAAAATTGAATTAACCTGCTGTTGATGCAGGTGAAATGTTCCCACTACACGGATTATTTGTCAATATTTGCTGCATTACATACATAATGGCACGGCATTGGTGCTTACTTCACATATTTATTTGAGTTCATTGTTTCGGTTGCAGAAAAAATAGCATGTTTCATTCGGATCAAAAGTGACTTTGTTCGACTCGCAAATTTTGCTTTCGCTCGGCTTCGCTAAACGCTCCGCCTCGCAAATGCAAAATTCGCATGTCAAACAAAGTGTCACTTTTGATCCTAATAAAACAATCTACTATTATTTATTTTGATTCTGTTAGGAGATAAAAAAAATTATGGCTTGAAATCAATCATTGTTTTTTTGAAACTAATAGTAAATACGAACCTGAGAGCTGAATCGTTGATCTTGGATTGGGCTCATAAGAACATTTCATCACGAACAATACCAATAACATGTGAATATCGGGTAGAATCCCAGTAATCTCACTGTGTACCGAGGATTTTGTGCGGGGTTCATTCAATTTGGTGGCTTTAACCGTTCAAAAGTTATGCAGAAAAATTATTTCAATTTGATCAATTTTGGAAGGATACAATCAATTATCTCCCTTAATATACATTTTGGGCCATTAGTTTATTTTTCAAACTATACATATTTTCAGTGTATCACCTCCAGAAAGCTCGGCATCACACATTCTTGACTCACTCTGTATGATTGACTGGAGTTCTGACGTAAAATAGAATAATACACACCGAGGTGGAAATTGATTCATTCCTGTCGTGAGATTAGTTAGTTAACCGTGACGCAAAGCGTCGGGGTGAGCTATAATCTCGAGACAGGAATGAAACTCCCTACCAAGGTTTGAATACTATTTTATTCGCAAGCATCATATTCCGATGAAAACCCATGAATCTATGTTTCGTTCTGAACATACCTGAATTATTACATGAGTGAGGGCGAGAAGTGAGGGCGGGAAGTAGTGAGGGGTGGGAAGTGAGGGCAGGAAGTATAGGTGGGTAATGAGACACTTCCCAAACTTCAACGACGTTGGTAATGACAACATTACATATATGATTGTAAATAAAAATATATTTATTTCTGACAGTGACATTATAAGCTTATATCGTCATAGTTACGATATCTATTATGAGGGTCATAACTCCCTTGGGATGTTATAGATGCTATAATTTCCTCTAACTAAAATTAAATAAGAAATGCATAGCAACAACCACGCAGTAACGTAGCAATAAGGAATCTACTATTCGCGGTAGTCAAGATCATCATCTGACGTTCTGATGACATTGAAACTATACGGAAAAACATGTCTAACTTCCAATCGGGAAGGTATCTAATGAATGAAATCAGTCAGAAATAAAATTATCTATGTATCACGGGAATTACTGAGCCTCAATAACCTCAGGCAATTGCTGTCCCTCGGGCCAGAGGCCCTCCGGACGCAAACTTTGCCATCGGTAATTCCCTCATAATTCCCTTAATACATGAATAACTATTCCCTACCTTACTTGCAAACGCACTAGCCAATTATTTTTTTTATCTTTCCAACTCAGAATGTTTTAGAAATGCTGGTGTAGGTAGTGTTGTTTATTCAGGCCGTTTATTGGTTTCATTAAGTTCCACTTGATGAAAATCACAGATTTTGTAACTCTGGTTAAATGAAACATAAACGGATTAGAGGATATAAGCATATTATCAGTTCAAGTTATCTTTGAAGTGAATCATGATTGTTTCTGATAAACAGATATAAATATAAATATTTCATTTCAATTGGAAATCCAATTCATCAAATCTCGAAATCATTTTATTTTTCCAATGAATAATAAACCCAAACCTGTATTAAATTGAGACGCTTCACTTTCTTAGCCATAAATGTATACAATAGTATACATATTATTTTGTCATTCTGCTCATAATTATAACTAAGTGCCGCGGTTTCTCACTTCGATGTTTCTTATTATGCTTCACAACTTGATTTTGTCTTGGATTGTTAGCTCCGCTCCTTTTTGTTCGTGAAGACAGTGTACAGATGTAGAGGAAAATTTACGGCATTCATACGTATAGGATTTTCAATACATTAGAACGAAATTGTCTCGACCAATCGACCAAGCCAAAATTTGACAAATACTTTCTTTCGTCCCCACTTCGTAGCAATCGTAGCTAGAACGCATCTCCGCTCATAGCAGGAACATAAAGCAGGCTCACTGCTCAGTGCTCAGTCAGTATGGAAATGTTGTGTGATGAGTTTTCATGTGCCGTTTTATTTATTTTATTTACCTCTTGGAGCGTACGAAAGGAAATTCCTATAATGTTCGTGGGACATGGTACGTACCTAGGGATGAAAAGGCACGGAGGGAGGTGTTGGAATTGTTTGGATGTTCTTGAGAATACTTCCATCGACAACGAATTCCTAAGATTCGCCGTTGTATCAACGAACGAGTTTTGTTAGAGTGTTGTTCGACATTTTTTCAAGGTTAACGACCAATGGATGTGCTGACCGGGCCTGTCGAGTTCGTCTGACTGATTCTTCCCGTAGAAGCATCTATAGAAAATTGAAAGGACGCCGACTCTTCTACTGTGTCCTAATGGGTTCAAGGGATTATAATGAGTGTCTCATCACACATTAGGCCAATGGCTCTTCTCTGGATAGAATCTGAGAGCATCAGCATATATTTGGGTGCTGCACCCCATACATGGGAACAGTATTCTAGAACTAGCCGTATCCAAGCTTTGTAGATCATGAGAAGCTGTTGAGGTGTGAAGTAGATTCTCGCACAGAACAAGAACCCAAGTTTTTGCAGCTTTTGCGACTAATCAAACATGATTTTTCCTCGAGAAAGTATTGCTGATGGCAATATCGAGCATAGATAAAGTGGTCTTAATGGTAATGGTGGTATCAGACATTGTTATATGAGGGATACTGAGTTTCGACTTTCTGGAGAAAATACAGACTTGAGTTTTGGTGGCATTGAATTCAACTAGATTGTTGGTTTCATAGGCTGTCATTTCCGCAAGATCTTCATTGAGAGCGTTGACCTAATTTTATCGTAAATCATTAGTTTCCTGGAGATAAATGGGAATTCTAGAAGAGAACGCAGTACAGAGAGAACTATCCGTCTGTGACTCTGTGTCCAACAATGTTGGTGCCAAAATTGATCCCTGTGGAACGTTACAATTGTTGACAATAATATCAGACGATATTTCGTTCACCACCACTTGGAGCAATCGGCCTGAAAGAAAACTCGACAAAAGATGGCATAGCTGAGGTGGTAAGCCGTATGATAGTTGTTTGTGAAGCAAATGTTAAAACTGCACGAAAGATGGAATTTCCACAAAACTGTGAGATTTTGTGGATATCTCACCCTTTGTGAAGTTTTCACATTTGCTATGGATTTCCATCAACTAACGGCCGAGTCTATTCGAAAATAAAAAGTTTGCGGAGTAGTCTTTGGTGTCAAACACGGAGGAATGCCTAACGTTACAGCTAGAGATTCCTTTTGTTTTTACTTGCCGTATATGGGTGACGTAGGCAATGAAATCTCCAATTGATCTTTGGTGGCGAAAGCCATATTGTCAATCATTATTGATTCTTGAGTTTTCCAGATATTTGATGAGCTCAATGTTGATGGCTCTCTCCGATGCTTTGGAGATGACTGATGACAGGGCAATTTTCCTATAGTTGCTGGGCAGGCTGTTTGTTGTTTCCTTCTTCGCGGATTGGTTGCACTCTAGCTATTTGCCAGCACGATGGAAAAACACTCGGCTGGTATAGGAGATGGTGAATAGCTTACAGAGATCGACGTCAATTCTGGTGTACACTTTTTGAGATTAATGGGTCATATTCCATCAGGACCATAAGAGTTAATCGTTCTAAGACCGAATAGTGCGTTGACAAAGGACAATTTCGGGCATTCGGGTTCCAACGGGTGAAAGAAGAAGAGGTGGAGTTTGCTGCGAACATCTCTGCGAAAATGTTCGCTTTCTCAATCGTTATGGGTTCATAGTTCGACGCGCCAAAGTAGTCCGGGGACAAAAGGAAGAGGATGAAGACATTCAGTCATCTGAGCCTAGAGCGTCGAAACAATGCGGTTTTGCAGATGACGTCGCTTCCATCAAGTCATGAACGATATAACTGACTGCAATTCTCAACTGTTACCACCATGACTAGCGAGCGCTTGGAATTCCGTTTTTTAATTGACAGTGAGTTGTGGAGTTGATGATCGCAACATTTATATTGTGCTCTGGGTGATCTCTTAGCGCCACGATCCGATTGAATTATATCTGTTGAATATTGAAAATAATCCCCGAATTGACATCGAAATCACCGAACAACATTCACCTCACAAAGCACCTCACCTGCAAACATACGGCCTCTCTTGCGTGTGCTGCCTGATGTGCGCCTCGAGCGACCCCTTGGGAAAGCTCTTCTCGCAAACGGGACACTTGTACCTGAAGATGGTCTTCTTGCCCTCCACACCATCAGGATAGGCCTCGGAGGGCGGCTCGTGCAACGCCACGTGGAAGAAGAGCTCGGAGGCGGAGGCGGAAGTGAAAGGACACTTGCCGCAGCGCAGCGAGTCGAGAGAGTTCTCCTCGAACTTGCAGGATTTGTTGCGGAGGTGCGCGCTGAGGTCTTGGGCGATCGCGAATGATGTGCCGCAATGGGGACACCTTCAAGAGGAATACATTTTTGGGAAGTTTCTAGAATTCATAGAGTTCGTGAGATTTGTGAAATTCGTTGATATCATAGAATCTGTAAAATTCGTAAAAATCGTAAAATACGTAGAAATAAGTGAAATTGGTGAAATTTGTGAAAGTCGTAAATTTACGAATTCACAAAATTCGTGACATTGGTTATATTCGTGAAATTGGTACAAATCGAATAATTAGTAAAATTTCCTGAAATTCGTGAAATTTGTATGATTAAAGAAATTCGTGAAATTCGTAAAATAAGTATTTTGGAATGCTATCCTGAATATAAGTTCCAGGGAAAATTTGATCTTCATACAGGGAAAAACAAAATGTACTATTCCACCCTTAACTTCTTAAAGACCTGTGACAAAGGTGAGTGGTTACAATTAGTTTCATTGATTTGAAGTTTGATACCTTCACAATACAGTGGTTTTCAAATCACGGCGATCTACTTCTGAAGGAAAGCTACAAGTGGTCTGAGGGAGCATGGATTTTTTATTAACAATAGTTCAGAACCATTCTCCAACCTCCTACTTCATCATGTTCTGAATTGAATAGTGATTCTTCTTTGTCCCTTCTCCACACAACGTCTCTAGATTCACGTCAATGTTTTCTTTTGAAGAGAAGATACGAGTGTTTTGAAAAAGTATGGAATGATTTTCATTAACAATAATTCCAAACCTATATATTGAGCATCTTAGATATGAACTTCAGAGGCTCATTCGCCTTAGTCTGGCCTTGTCAGACACTCTTCAATAGCTACGATTTGCTCATCAAGAAGAATTTGAGAGATTCTTCAAAACTACTTGATGAATTTGATCGATACGATGCAACTGCGGTTGAATGCTGTAATTCAAACTCGAGGAGGGCATACTCGTTATTGACTACAGGTGCTTCTGTTTGATTTTTGTAATTGTTTTTCTTTCGTTATGTACTGAAAAAAATGAGGTAGAAATCAGTGATATAATTTCTTCTTCAAGTTGTTTATCAATAAGTTTTCATCCAGATGTGTTGAAGAGAATTGAAAAAAATCATAGTTTCTTAAAACACTCGTATCTTCTCTTGAAAATAAGATATTGACGTTAATCTGAAACTATTGTGTTGGAGAAGAATCGCAATCGATGAAGCAAAATGAGGCCAAGTTCAATCACTCAATTTCCTCACAGGGCGTTAAGAAATGAAGGGTAAAAGGGTGGAGCAGAACGCCCTGTATAAGTATCGCATTTTCTGAGGAATCAGTGTTTGTGCCAGTTACCTACCTATGATTTGCTATTGTTTTCGTGGTAATCCAATAGATGGAGGAAGAATGTTCATTTGGAAAACTTTAAATAGATCGTCCCTTGTTTTTGTTGCCCTAAGGCAAAAAACGCACTTGGTATCGTTTCATCGAGCTCGTCTTTTTGATTTTGTGAGCATTTGTGATTGATGGTAGCTTATAGTTACAGTGTGTTTGAATATTGCTTTTATATAAAGTGTTGTTTTGGACCGACTTAGTGCCAGGTGAAGTAGTTACTCTTCATATTTATATTTTTCACGTATTCTAATGGTGCCTTATCTTATCTTCCAGATTTCATACACCACATTATACTTAACCACGGTGGTGGGTGATTGGCAAAATAAAACCACATACTTTCCATAACGACTCATTTCGCGACCTGAAACTCCCACTGAGGATATTCTGTTACAAGGATGACTTTGGTTTTTCATACTAATATTTAAATTCCAATATTTTCACCAATATTCAGGCTAATATTTCGGACCATGAATCAACGATTTCATCAAAATTTTACAAAAATGGGACATGGATTGAAGAAATTACACAGGGTGAACAATTTGGGCACATTTTTTGATGACCGGTTTTTTTGCCGGAGAGTGTATATGCTCCTCCAACAGCAGGAAATTCCCAACACTTTTTTGCAGTACTCGCATGTCTTTTATTCCGAACTCTTTTCCTCCTCCCAGCCGAATACCTGTGTTGCACACTTTTCCTGTGCCGCTTGTCACATGGCACAGCACTCTTGAAATTCAACCCACAAGGAATGCTGATGAAATAGTTGGCGTTGTGAGCTACTTCTCATTAAAGCTTCAGTTCCAGTCAAAACTCGTTTTTACTAATTTCTTCACTCACCTTGTCTAATTATGCCTTTCAATTTTTTATGTTTTCGCCATGTCTTTATCTATTTTCGTGGAATTGAAAGACAACACACTTAATATTGAAAAAAAAAAACGCCAATTACCAAAGCGAATAATTGAAAATGGCGAAGCGATTGAACAGAATGCGGAATGTCGATGCGCAAATGTGAACAGTGTTGTCAGAGCATTTTTGCTAGCGTTGAATCATAAAAAACGCATCTGAAAATCATTCAAGAACTTCATCCAGAATATCAATTTGAATATGTCTCCTATGTGCAGAAGTGAATTTATAGGAAATATCCTCACATATCCTGCACACGTTCTCTGTGAGGTTGTAGAAATGTAAAATTCTAGGTTCTAGAATTTCGTTGAAAGTAGGTATTATCTATATCTCCAAATTCGTACCTTATTTTCTGCTCCGGATGGAAATTACCAATATGCTCCTTCAACAGCAGGAAATTCCCGAAACTCTTCTGGCAGTACTCGCATGTTTTTTCCTTCGAACTTTTCTCTCCGCTAGCCAAATACTTGTGCTGCACACTCTTCCTGTGCCGCTTGGCCTCCACGGCACTCTCGAACCTCAACCCACAAGGATTGCAAACGAAAAAGTTGGCATTGTGAGCTACCCTGTGGTGACGTTTCACCGCATTGTTGGACTCCAAGCCGACTCCGCACACGTCACAGATGAACTGGTTCTTGAATTTCACAGCAGAGGAGTCGTCGTGGTTGAACTTCTTGCAGTGCTCCAATAGCTGGACGTTCAACATGAACTCCTGGTGGCAAGTCGGGCAAGCGACCGGGTTGATTTTCTTGATAACGATCGGCAGGGATCTGGAAAGAATAATTTAGTGTGATTGAATCAATTTAATTAATTGAATAATCTCTGAAAGTGGGTGTTACATTGTTTTGGTTCCTGCAAGGTGTTATTCCTCAGCTATAGACTTGAAGAATAGTGATCAGTCAACAATAACTCCAGCAACCAGTATTCAAGGCTGAACCCAGGGTTTGTGATTAAAACCATTCTATTGGCTCCTGATAGAGGTCTGATCAATAACAAACATCGAAAACTGGCTTGATGTAGGCACATCCTGTGCATTTCTTCACTGCTGCTACCTAGGCCGGCTTGGAAGATCAGTTTGTAGGAGTATGTGGAGTATTTTTGCTCTCGCCAAGAACATTCAGTGTATGCATTTTGGCTGATAGTTTGGTGTTCAGGATCAGTATATAATTATCATACGTCAAAATAAAACAGAGATATATTCCTGTACTTACTGAAGTCTATAAAATTTTTGGGCATGATTTTTGACTATATAGCTTGAGCTGAGATAACCATATAAATAGCCTAGCCTCTGAATGAGCTCCAATTTGTGGGGTTATACGGTATTTAAGAGGACATGTAATAGTAAACAGCCTTGAACTCCATTAATTTGCGCATGTGTTTATGTTCTCTGTTTCCCACGAAAATGGACATCCTGTAATGTTGAAAGAACATCGTGAGAACCAAGGGAAACAAGGAAGGAATTGATGTTCTTCTTGAATTTTTGGTGGTTATATGCCACTGGGAACACCTCCCTTGGCAATGTGTTCCAGAACCTCGCTGTTCGTTGGATGAACGAGTCTTTGGAGAGAGATGTTCTGCAGATCTCCAAAGTGAACACGAAGGGGTGCGAAGCCTCAACTCGACGGGTTAATCTCGCGGGGACTGTCAAGGAATAGAGCCAGATCGCTTTTCTATGGTGTTCCAGAGGAGTGAGAGAGTTTGTGAGCGAGGCATCACCAACGAGACGGATTGCAAATTTTTGGACAGAATCCAACAGTTTCAGGGTATGTTTGGGTGCTGCACTCCAAATATGGGAACAGTATTCCAGGACATGTCGGATCTGTGCCTTATAGATCATAAGCAGCTGAGTGTGAGTGAAATAGCTCCTGGCTCTAAACAGAAAACCAAGTTTTTGAGATGCACTTTTAGCAATTGATCTTACGTGATTTTCCCAAGAAAGGTTATTGCTGATAGTAATACCGAGCATGGAAATGGATGTCTTCAAAGGTATGGTTACTCCTGACAAGCTTATGTTGGGCACAGTGGTTATTTCCTATGGGATATTGTTCTGACGTTTATCGATTTTCTAAGTCGGTATACAGAGTGCTGCGTGTAAATGATATCGCTAGATGCTGTATTCGTCATGATATTCTCAACTCGATAGTGAAATAAAATATACCTAGTGTTCCAGTTGAAGAAATCAACAACTACCCCATAGTTCATTCGTTATGAACAGCCTGTGAATTTTTTGAAAACAATAAAAAATCTCATTTTAATTGGTTTTTAAAATTTTAAAATCGGTTCAGAAACAACTAAGTTACAATGGGAGATATTTATGGTGAACCACCCTGTACGGAATGTGCAAATTGTATGCAAACCATCATCTCATATATACTGTGAGGTCCACTAACCATGGTCAAAATTTGAACATCTCTTCGATTATCGACTTTTTGAAGGATATCCAGTCAAATGATGTTCGAATAAGTCGAGCTCCCCTCTCCGGAATCGTATGCAAATGTCGGGAAACAGATTAATGGGTCCCAATTCATTGTTTTGTCAAAGGGCATACATTCTCAGATCATCGACTATAACACTGGAAAATTGCCACTTCCGGTGCGTATGCCGCCCTTGGGGAGTGACCTAGGCGTATGCAAACCGGCGAGTGCCCCAATTTTCGTGAGATAAGATCATTGCACTTCATTACCGAGCTTCTTCTCAAACAAAATTTCGAACTCTTTTTCAATCAAAAAGTGAAGTCGGGGCCGGGGCAAGGACTGGGTTGCGACTCTCCGAGGGACTCCTTCCTGTTAACTTGGACTAAGTGAGTGGGTCCCTTAAATGGCATACCGACTACCGAACATCGATAAACACTGTGTCGCGGGCCAACAGTCTATAACAATATATTCATATTACAAAAACGTATCCTGAGGTGCATTTTCGGATTGGAATATGTTACCTCATGTAGGTCGTTTTTTTGTACAACATGGTTTGCTTCCTGTACCCTCATAGTATTATCTATCATTGGTAGTATTTGTGAAACAACATAAACATTTGTTCAACAAAAATTCGGATGGATAATAATCTGAGTATTCCAAAATATTCAACAGCTTTTTTAAAAAAAATACACATTATAGAGCAATAAGGGCTTACAACCTACTACCAACAGAAATCAAGGACATCAGAAATCCAGCTATATTCAGGAGTTCAGTCATTTGTTTTCTTGAAGAAAAAATATATTATGATTATAATTTCGGGGAATAATTCTTCCCTAATGCTATTTTTTGGTCGTTCTCAATGTCATTTTATTAGTGGGTAAATTTTTTGCTATTATCTCTATAGATTCTCACAGCAATGAATATATTGTCATTATTACCTGTTGATGACAGACACGACTTCTGTATGCTCGTCAGACACCAAGTGTGCGTACATCAGCCCTGTGTCTTCTGTTCGGAATTTGCAGAGGATGCAGAAGAAGTGTCCAGGCAGCACTTTGCAGGTGTGCTCTGGAGACAGCCAGTGACGAAGGAAGTCTCGGTGGGTGTTGCAGTAGAACTTGCAAGCACTGCATTGGAACGGGCTCTCTAACACTATGTCGTGGATGTTGTCCAGTACCTTTAAAGAATTGGTTGTTAATGGAAGATCCAAGATTTTTTCAAAGGTTATCAGATCTTGCGATTGAACTACATGAGCCATAACAATTTTGTTATGCACGACCGAGCGTGAAGTTGTACGATATCACTAAGGTTCGGGAGCTTGAAGTAGCACTTTAGCGCCCTAGGACGATGAAGGAGTACAGGGCGGTAAATCAGTCAGGCGGGCAGTGGAGTAATTTCACATTTTTTCAGTAATTTCTGGTAGACTACCATTCGGTATTCCGAGTTAAATTAGATGAACTAAAACCCTAACAAAAACCTGGCATATAATGCAATGGTATGAAGTCCTCTTCAGAGATCCCGCAAAATTCCTATCAGAGGCTGCTTGGTGGCATGGAGTGCAGCATCGATCACAGCAGGCACGACGAGCATGAAGTCTCTGGAATAGAAAAGGTATCCCCTATCAGCCCATGGGGTTGAACCCCTCCGTTCCCCTTGCTTGGCGTCCCTAGGTGATGAAACAAAGGGACAAATCCAACCTAATGGAATGCGCTGCAGTTTGCTCTGGCCAGGATCCAGTGGCCTAGAGTGAGTTACGCTGACATGGGAGACGGAAATAAGGATTTCTGAAAGGGACAGTCGAACCCGCCAATGGCAAGTAGAAGAGACTGGCAGCGTATCACCTCCATCTCACAGACCCCAAGACATTCAGGCTATCCTACAACCCTATCGGAAAAAAAGACAGGCTTCAACCTCCCATTCCGCACTATGAAATCAGCATCACTGAAACTCGATCAACGTCCTCGAATATCGACTTACCTTCTGACCTTCTGAAGAAGGGCTAGGAGAATCAAACATGGAGCCATGCTGTCGGCGTATCGTGTCACAAACCGACCCCAGGTATTTGAAGGAGCGTCATTTTGATTCTGGCGAGGTCGTAGTTGGTCTGCATGTTTTCTCTTATGTACTTCCCCTACCTCAACGATGTAGGAGTGAGGTGCTGTTTGGTAGATCACTTTTCCAGGGAGAGAACCTCTCTTCAAAGGGTTATTTACCCACACAAGTTCATCCTGTTCATAATAACGCTCCTTAGTGCCTCGTTCGTATGTTTTTGCTTGATTCAACTTTGAATGTTCCATGTTTCTCTGTATGTCAGGTTTGAGTTGGTCGAAGATACCCCCAGAGCCTCCTACCGAACATTAATTCGCTGGGACTCCTATCTGTCGAACGTTGGACTGTACTTCTGTATGACAATAAGAAATTGTTCAAACGTTTGTGCTGGTCAGGTTCGTCTATCACGCTCATTCTGTCTTTAAAAGTTTTGACCATACGCTCTGCCAATCCATTCGATCTTGGATGGTATGGTGTGTTTTTTTTTCGTGGCTGATGCCATTGTCTCGACAAAAAGTGGAGAACTCCTCTGAGGTGAACTGTGGGCCGTTGTCAGAAACAATGATTTTCACTAATCCGAAACGGGCAAAAATGTAACAATGAGCTGTTATCGTTGTTGCTGTGGTGGTATTATTTACTGGAATCACTTCAAGCCATCTAGAATAAGCATCGAAAACTATTAGCCACATCTTTCCCTGGAAAGGGCCTGCAAAATCTATGTGAATTCTGGCTCATGGTTCGGTTGGAGCAGCCCATGGATACAGTGGTAATCTCTGTTAATTTTGTCGTGACTCTTGGCATGGAGCGCATTCTTCAACGAAATCGATGATAGACTGATCTATCTTCGGCTGATAGATATGGATCCTCGCTAAGGACTGCATAGCATTGATACCCGAATGCCCATCATGAAGCATGTGTAGTACCTCTGTTCGTAAATCTTCTGGTATGCAAATTCGGCCGTTCCACAGTAGAATTCCTTCTTCAACGGATAATTCATCTCGTTTCTCGTAAAATGAAAGTAGATCAATTGGTACGTATTTCTTCTGCAGCCATCCTAACTCCATATGTTTGCATATTCGTCGAAAAATCGCATCTTCTTTTATTTTCTTCTTCAAAAGTTTCTTGGTAACAGGTAGATGATGCAATCGATGATGTAACAGATGCCCACGTTTTGGGATTCCTGTCTCCTCGTTCGGGGTGATGTTTGTATCGCTGAGTGGCAAACGAGACAGTAAATCTGCTGGGGCATTATCTTTTGCAGGATGGTAAGCAATTGTATAATTATATGAACTCAGAATGATCGCCCATCGAAGAAGGCGATTGCTTGCCACTTTAGGGGTATTCCTATGTTCACTGAATATATATTGAAGTGGTTTGTGGTCTGTCAACAGTGTGAAATGTCTGCCATATAAATACTGATGGAATTTTGTCACCGCATATATAAAACCTAAAGCCTCCTTGTCGATGGTGCTGTATCTACTCTCAACATCAGAACGTGACCGTGAAACAAATGCTATTGGACGTAAAAATCCATCTGGAAATTTATGAGAAAGTACAGCACCTGCACCTTCATCTGAAGCATCACTAGATACATATAATGGTAAATCCATGCTGTAATGAACTAGGGTATCAGTAGAAGAGAGAATATTTGTGAGTTCGCAAAAATTCGATTGTCATTAGAGTTTCATTCCCATTTGGAGTTTTTCCTCAATAGGCGGCCAGGTAGCCGTGCGGACAGAGTGTCTATATTCTAATCCTCATACGCTTGCCGGTCGTGGGTTCGATTCCCGTCGACTGCAGAAATTTTCTGATGGCCCAAGAAAGTGTTTGGGATCACACGTTAAAAGGTGAGGCTCCCGTCATTCCTTGCTCGCACAAGACTCCCGAAGACTTCTGAGGGTTGCAAGGGGGCAACCGAATGAAGGATAGACCAATTTTAGACAAAAAAAAAACGAACATATACTATGCGAATTCTGTATGAAACGCCCATAGTATGTGATGGATTCTAGAAATGATCTCAACTCTGAGACATTTTTAGGAACAGGCTTGTCCCTGATAGCTTGGATGCGCTCTCTGGTTGGAAGCAAACCCTGTTGGTCTATACGATATGTCCCAAATATATTACACTCTCTTGAAACCATGCACACTTAGATCTTTGATTTGTTATGCCTGCTGTTTGTAAACGTTGAAGGACCTGCTGTACACGAGATAGATGTAAATCTGACGAAGGAGCTGTTATGAGGATATCGTCTAGATAGCAGACTACACCATCTATTCCACTCAATAGCTGATCCATAGTCCGTTGAAAATGAGATTGTGCGAAAGAAACTTCAGAAGGTAATTTTTTGTATGTGAAATGACCTCGATGAGTTGAGATTACCAGATATTTACGAGAATCTTGGTGAACTGGAAGTTGGAGATAATCGATCTTGGAGAAGTGAGTACCACCACATAACTTCGAGGTGATCTCTTTGAATCTAGGCAGTAGATAGTCGTCAGTTTGTACGTGAGGGTTTATTGTAACATCGAAGTCTCCAAATATGCGGATACTATCATTCGATTTCACGACTACCACAATGGGTGATGCCCATTCTATTGAAGTTAGTGTGGCGTCCACAGGTTCCAACACATCTTTTGAGAGACGTTGTATTTCGACAGTAACTTGGCTTTGCAGTGCAATCGGAACTGGCCTAGCTCTGAATGTTTTTGGTGTAACGTTGTTTGGGATATGTATTTTAGCTGTATTGCTTGCAATAGTACCAATGCGGTTTTCGAAAATATCCGCATATTCATTTAGCATCCGTTTTATTTTATTTTCAATGATCAATTTGGTATCTGAACCATCGTTCGTTAGCTGTATTGTATCATTGGTCGTATTAACAATTGTTTTCAGAGTACACAACTTTGATCCAGGTGGTAATGGTAGTTTGAATGCCAAGCATCAATCTAAACCAAACAATGGAATATCATTCTTTTCAACGATGTATAGAGGCAAACGTTTTTCACACCCAAAAGCAGCTACATTCACTTTAAGAACACTCTGCCCATGACTGAATGTGCTGCCCCAGGATCATAGAGCATGTCAATCTGTCTGTTATCGACACAAATGGGCAGCAGGACTTTGCTGGATGATTGAATGCTATGAATATTCGATGTATTAGTAGATGAGAAACTGTCTTTGTCATCATCACTACCTGGGGATTCCACTTCACGTACGTGTCTTGTATTCAACGAACCTCTGGTGTGTGAGGCATTTTTATAAACATGTACTCGACCTGCCGTAATGCAGACTTTGGAAAAATGATTCAGTTCACCACATGCTGAGCATTTTATTCCCTTCCCATGTGTCATTTTCTCTATGTGGATTACTGCTGCAAAACATGCATTGATTTCTCCCATCCAACATCTTCGTCCTTCGGTGATCTGGGGGCTATCTTTCCTGCGTATCTCCTGATTGTAGCTGCCACTCAGTTTATTTATATTGCAGTGATCGTTTTTTAATAACTATAATGAAGCTAGGCGTTGGCTATGTATGAAGGCTTGTTCCAATTGTAGGGCATATGTTTCAATATTTGTTAAGTTCGCATTATTCGTTGTATATTTCAAAATTATTTCTTGTCGCCAAGCTGAATTATTTATACCTATCACCAACTGATCGCGTAATCGTTCGTTCAAGTTGGTCCCAAACTCGCAGTCACCTGCTAAGCCTCGTAAAACTGTCATAAACTGAGTAACTGACTCATCTTCACGTCTCCAACGTAGAGCGAAAGAGACCCTTTCTAAAAGTACATAGGATTTTTTACAATAATATTTGTTCCATACTTGTATGAGCTCCGCATATGTTTTGTGAGTTACTTTGTCAGGTTTGAAATGGTCCACTAATATCTTGAATGGATCTGATCCAACTTTAGCTAGTAGTAGATTCTTCTTTGCTGTTTCATTTCCAGCAACGTCGAATTCATGAGTTTTGAGCTTCACCTCGAAACGTTGTAGATAGTATTCCCATTCCTCCTTGTCTGGAGGAAATTTATCGAAATGAAAACCTTTTATGTCTGAATGTGCTGCGGCTTCAAGATTCGTGATCATCCTCGTCGCCAAATGTCGTAATAGAGTAGTTTGAACGTTTATTTGATTCAAAGAACTATATTAGACCATAACAACATAGAAAGTCTCTGACTATTGAAGATCTGTCTATGAACTGCCAAATCCCCATCATCCCTTGTCAGACCATCCCTTGGCCGACTTGGTTGAAACTCTGATGACTGAACTATATATAGGGAGTGATACTACAAAAGTAAAACATGAATGTTCGACTTCTTCTTCGTCGATTTGACACCACTCCTGACGACTGTGCAACGATGATTTCCATCCAAGGCAACTGACAGCGTTGACATTAAGTAAGGCACAGCGTTGACACTGACGTGCGGAACGACCTTACCTATCTCTTCAACCAACAAAAGACCAGGAAAATAACAAATTTTTCAAACAATCATACCCAAATAATCCTAAAAATAAACAATCAATGGTTCACATCATCTTCGTTGGAGAAAACAACAGGTACATCAAAATCTTTCCAAAAACCATTGAATCTGACAAGCATAGGACCTCAAATGAATAAACATAATACTATCATCTTTATTTCCAGAACCTGTTTATTCGGATCAGCACAGCCCGAGGCTTCAATCATCTTTTCCTACAGGTGTACTGAACGTCTGAAGAATCGTGATATCTGCTGAAATGATCTCAAATCACTGTGTATGAGTGTTGTACCAATGTTTCATTTTGCAAGCGATATTCATTTTTGCTCTTGTAACTTAGTGCTCTCTGTAAGTAGGTATGGTTTCTCGATGATTTTATCAATCGAATGTTTACTTATATAAATCTATACCCATCAAATTTAGACTCAACTTCTGGGCAAAATAGGTGAAAACCTCTGCCCTTTTCATGTTATAATGATAAATAATAATGTTACATGTTATATGAACTACCGAATTCCAAGATTAAAGTGAATCGTCAAATTAAACTATAATACAATCATACCTAAGACGCCGATAAAACGAAAATTCAGTATTTACTTCACTCACCATACGTCTCGCTTCTTCAGTGCGGATATTTCCTTTCCTGCAATGGTAGTGCGAAATCAAGTGTTTACCAATAAGGTACTTATTCACCCTTGATAAGCAAACATCGCACCTTTCGTAAACCTTCCTTCGTTTCCTCTTTTTACTCGTCGTTGCTTTTTCATCAGAACTGAAGATAGGCTCAGATAGCTTCAGCTTCGGGCGACGAACACTCCTCATCAACAGCTCGCCAGTTTCATCGAAATCTCTATCGTGAGCTGTCCTCTTGAAATGCAGCTCGGATTTCAAGTGCCTCTCGTACACGACCTTGGAAGCCAATCTTCTGTTGCAAGGGCTGCACCAGTACTGGATGGTACCACCGGATTTTCTCAAGAGGCTCTGACTATTCAATTTGGAGCTGGATTTGTTGTCTGTCGGTGGCAGCCACTTTCCTTTGGTATACGTTTCTTCTGGGACTGTCAGGATTAGTTTATTTGTGTCGTTCTTGATGGATTTCGATGATTGTGTTTTTTGTTTTGAGAATGATGGTTGAGGTGGATCGGGTTCGGTGGCTGGTTTGGGCTTCCATTTACCCTTGGTGTATGAGGGAGGAGGAAAATCTTCATCTTCTTCTGTCCTAGGCTTCCACTTCCCTGATTGAGAAAAGAAGAGAGGTTGTTATAATTCAATTACACAACTGTCTGAGTGTTATAGTCTTAACAATGTCCATTTCCAATGATGATATGAGGATTCATTCAATCCACTTCATATCGAAATAGGTAGAAATTAAATGTTCTATCTCTTTGGTTACACCGAATTATAATGAAGGTTGATATGTTTTTTGTTTTTTCACTAGGCTTTCCGTGTGTTCAGACTTTCATAATGCGTTGGATCAAGGTTTTTTACGAATCACTGGTTCTATTCAGAAGTCCTTAAATCCACTAATTTCAAACCTAGGGAAACCTGGGGTACCTGATGCTCTTTGCCGGAGAAACCACAGGACTGGACAAACTCCTTCCCCCATTACTTTTAGGAACCTAATTTTGGCCTTCTTCATGGACAAGATCAGGGCTCGGAATAGTTGTCTTTAGGAGCCCAAACGGGAAGGGTATTTCAAACGAACCTCTGGTACTGTGAGCGGCATCAGTGCTTACAGATATAGGATGGTATTTAAAGTGGCCTTTATATAAGAATCATGGATCGCATATGGTTAAATCAATATCGGCATATTCGAGGTCAGATACAATGGGCCAATAGGCGTAAGTGTCATCAGAGAGTTAGATCAGACAAACTTCATATGGAGGTGAAGTGTGTAGTGGTTACACCAACATATAGGGAGTCCCACACTACCATGAAGGGAATGGTCCTCCGCAAGGCGGATCCAGACTTCGTGGCAGAGAGGGGTAACAAGCCTCAAAATCACAATATTTATATAGTGCTTTCGTAAAGTACTGAATAAAATAGTTTTCAGCTGAACTATCGATTTCTAAGGAATCTCTTGAAACAGGTCGATTCCTGATCTCATTGTGTCACATTTAGGAGAATTGAATATGGAATGACGTGGGCGACAATTTCTTCAAATGGAAAACCCTGTATAATATCATTGAATTTTTGGAATCGCCATGAAAAGCTGGATTCAAAACTAAGAATCACACATATGGTCAAACCAAAATATTATTCTCCGCCGCAGTTGGTGACAGGTTATCAAAGGATTCACCGACGTTTGGCCGGTTAATTTTTCTTTATCTGTCAATTGACTTCGTAAATGAATACTTTACCTTTAGTGTGGTGGGCTAGAGGAACATCACTCTCCGTCGTTCCTTTCTCCTCATCGATCTCCAGTTTCGTCTTTCCCCTTCCTTTATTGTAGATATCTTCGCTGTCTTGCTTCTTCGGGGCCACCCATTTACTGCCAGTGAAACTCGGAGGAGGCACACTCAGGTCTTCCTGCTTTCTGGGCACCCATTTGCTCCCAGTGAACGAGGGAGGCGGCCATTTGCCCTTCGTGTGAGTGGGAGGAGGGGTAGAAGATCGTTTGTAGCTGGGTTTCCATTTGCCCCCGGTGAAAGTTGGAGGGGGTACGTTCCAGGTACTGCTGTCAGTGCTTCTAGCCCATTGGACTGGCGATGAGGGCTTCCATTTCCCTCCTGAAAAAAGAAAAGGGGATGTTTCAAATACTGAAATCCAAAGAAATTAGCTTCCTGGATAAGCTCCATGGATATGTTGATGATATTCTTGCTCTCTTCAACGGTACCCTACATGAACTCTATGTTTTTTGTTTCATTTTCAATTCTATCAATCCTAGAATGAAATCCACTATTGATATCGAATTTACTAACCAGTTACTATTTCTTGCTATTTTGATACATATAAAACAGATTTCTTTCAACTTTTCAATTTATAGAAAATCAACAAGTACTGATAATATTATACCATCAAATTCTTTTCACCCTGACAGTCAGAAATGTTCAGCATTTCATGCACTTTTTCACAGAATTTCTACAATACCCATAAACAATGTCAACTTTGAAGCTGAATTGAATATCAGTGAACAAATCGCAGGTGATAACAATTTTCTATTTGAATAATAATTGATCGACTTCTTCCGAAATATGTCAACAAAGTTTCAATTTACTTTTCAATTACTTCTGTTTCAACATCCAAATATTTTCTGGGAAAGAACTCAATACCAATAATGTTAATACAAAAAATTGGATTGCTATTCTAGAGAAATCCGGGGTGAATAAAATAAATTGCAAAAATCATGATTGTAATGTTTGCTACATCGGTCAAGCAGGTCGCAAGTTCAAAACCAGAGTATCGAAAAACAATCGTATCACAGAAAATAATTTTGAAGAATTGAAAAATAATTTTTTGAGTTCAATTCTGTTTTTCCTAATGAAATTATCAATGGCAAACAGTCTTTTGATCTCAATCCTAACATTCAAATCTTACATATCTGTGACAAATGAAAAACCCAACGTCCTTGAAATCTTGAAAATCAATAGAGCTGTCGAGAACTCTAACTTCAACTGCCTCAATGACTCAACTATTCATTATTTTAACAACTGTTTTATGTCACTTCGGATCAAAACAACCTAACTTGACTTTTGTCATTCTGATGTTTTGTTTTTATCCCCAATGTCATTATCGTCAAGTGTCATTTGTGATGAGTTGACCTAATTCATCAAACTCCCACCCACATATTGTTTTTCTCAGAATCTTTTTTCAAACTGAAAGTGCCGAAATTTTAAGCTCCCATAGAGCTTTTTTCACATTCATATATTCATTTACAAAAATTTTGGATGTAGGATATTTCTGTTATTTTTATTTTTTTCCACCAATGATGATGGGTGAATTCAGACATTTTAAAATATTTGAGAACTGACATAAGCATTGTTTTCTTCTCACAGATTTTCTTTTTTAACTATAAATGTTGGTGATGATGAAGGATTAATCCTTCGAAACATGCATGATTCATTTGTCCATGACCGTTAGTCGATATCAAATTGTTTTATGTGGTGGAGTTGTGACTGTCGAATTTTCTTTCTCAAAGTTTCTATAGTGATTTTCTCTTCTCGTTAAAATTTGAATTCCTCAATGAACTTGACACTTCCATCCTGACGTATTTGGAGGTTCTAATTACGGACACTCGACGAACAGTGACAGTGATGACGGATGATTTTGAGGCATATAATATTCCATTCACACGGATTCGATTCTGATTTACAGATAATGAAAAATTTCATCCAACATACCAGATTTAAAATCAATGTTTAAAATATGTCTATTCAAAGTTCGAAATGATGGTTTTTCGTATTGAAATTTCAATGAAGTAGTATAACCAGGTGAACCACAAGTGAATTTTGCGTCCCATCTATTACCAACAAATTTTGAGATATATCAGGCTCATAAATGGCTATCTCTCTAAAGAGTTTCAATTAGTAATTCAAATCTTCCATTTGTTTTCTCGATTGTGAGACTTTTAAATTTTTTTCTTATATCATCTCACCTTTATATTTTCATTTTTCTTGCATTCTTCTGAATATATATGTTGATTTTGTGTGAAATCTGAAACAACTTCCTGGCGATAGTTGTGAATTCCACTAGCTCTGAATTTATTGTCGGAATCTTTTAGTAACCTTGAATTTTCGAATATATCTGCCCAAAGTTTTCCTCCTTTTTATTCATTGTTTGAAAGAATTTTATATCGACAGTTTTCTCATATAATTATTCTTCTAAATTGGTTAGTTCTTCACGAGATTGGTCCTGTTTGAAAATTGTAGCTCTTTCTGTCAATACAATTCAATGGTTCATCATCGAAAGTTCTGGTCTGAAGTGCACTTGATACGAATGAGATAAATAACATTCTACAAACAATCTCGACACCTCGCAAAATTTTGGTTACTGAACTTATATTCCACGCCTGCAGCTTCATGTTTTCTCCTTTTTTTCGAGCGTATTCTATTCGAAGGAACTTCGGATAGAGTAGGTCAATTACCAGAATCTTTGCAGTTAGAAACAGCTTAAACTTGCATATTATTTCTATTATTATTTTCCCAATTTGTTCGTGCAATACCAGTTTCCGCTTTTTTCATCTATTCATCTGTGGCTATGTTTGACTGTCAGTGCTTGTCAGAGTGTCCGTACTCTAAATATACAAACACTTTGAAATGAAAGTGTCAAGTACATCAAGGAACTCTAGTTCTAATGCAATGTAGGAAAAAACAAATCAACCAATACTACAATTCATGATTGTTTGGAATTCATCTACAGGGCACTGAACGATAGGAAAAATGTCATGGCCTGTTTTATGATCTGAGCCGTGCATTCGATACTATAGATAACAATTTCTTAACACTGATATTAGATGATATACGGGAGTCCGTGGTGTTGCTCTGGCTTGGGCAACTACTCACTTAGCTAATCGAAAACAAATTGTAGTCCTAGATGCTATAAGATCTAATACAAGGGAAAGTTTCCATAAAGGAGTACATCAAGGCTCTATCTTAGGGCTCCTCTTCTTTATCATCTTCACGAGTGACATAAAACAAACCTGTGTTATGGCAGACCAGATCATTCAAATAATGAACAACTAGTAAATAATGGCAATAAAGCATCAAAGGAACTTGAGGACTATTGCAGCCAAAATGGCCTTGCACTTAACACCGCTAAAACTTATCACATTCGATTCTCATCAAAAAAATTGAATCCTGATAACGATCTCTACCTCACAGTAAATGAAAGATCAATAAAAAGCAAAGAGAATTATAAAATTCTTAGGTATTGTACTTAATAGAAAAATTTGATGGGAAGATCATATCACCACTCTGTGTTCAAAACTTAGTACAATCTACAATTAGGTATATAAGGGATACAGTGTCAGCAGAGGTATTGGGGATTCTTTACTTCGGATTGGCTCAGTCAGCTCTGCAATACAGCCTAATATTTTGAAGATCCTCGACTTACTTTTCAGAGGCATTTCGGTCTCAAGTAAAAATTATTAGAACAATGAACAAAACTCACCCTTGAGAACCTTGTAAAACATTATTCAGAAAATCAAAAATATTAACGCTACCTTGCCTTTATATCTTAAAAATAATGATTTTTATGAAAGATATGATACAAGGGATGAAGAAGACATTCATCTGCCCTTTTCCCGTCTGCTTATTGGACAAAATTTCCCAAGATATGTTGGTGCTGAATGTTTCAATAAGATGAAAAAACTAATAATAGACGTGAGGGGTAGCATGTCAACAATTAGGATAACATTTCTGAGTGATGAAGCTTTCTATAGCGTTGAAGAGTTTCTGGGCTCCTGAATATATTTCGAAACTATTTTAATAGATATGTTTATAATTTGAAATCATAGTCATTCGAATCTTGAATTGATAGGTTGTGCAAGTGTTATATGTATATACCATTTTGAAAATCGTTTTTATTCAGTCTATCGTATCTCTATGTATTACACTTAGTTTTTGTATTTTTTCGTTTCCTGATTAGTCCGATAAGTTTATGCATTCTGTAGTCTTCACCACACGATGTGTATTCTTTTGTGATGAATAAATGATTTCTGATTCTGATATGAGTATTGTTTTGAGATGGGTACAGTGAAACAGGATATTCAATATTCACCTGTGTGATGTCTAGGCGGTACGTCTTGGTCATCGCTACTGGACTCCTCGTCCTCGAAATCGAACTCATCGGACTCGTCCTCGGAATCCTCGAACACGTCCAACTTGGGCGGCTCCTCCTTCCTCCTCTCTAAGTTGGCCACGGCCTTGATCAGCTTCGAGTGATTGTCGCCGTGGCCCAGTTCTTTCAGCTGGTCCCCCCCAATCCACACGTTCTTTCCAGATTTGGACTGTTGTGCCTCAGTGGGGTCTTTCGGCGCTGAGGCTGCCGCTTGGATCACCTGTGGACAGTCAGATCTATTGGTAAAATTTTATCGGCGCTGCTATGCAAAGTCTATTCGGCCACAACCAACAGCTTCAACCGCCAATATTTTTTTAATGTGTTCAATCACCCATTCGATAGTGTGAAAGTTCCCTAACTCCAGAGTATACCCACTTTGGAGACTTCACTCCGTTTGTAGGCTTGTCTGATCGGGGTATCCGACGACACTTATACGATTCATGGTTCTTATTAAGAGTCACTTCATTATGGAAGACCCTTTCCGTTTAGGTTCCTGACTACTATTTCGATCCCTGTTACCGTCTGCTGCTCGTCTACAAAGGAGGTCAAATGTTTTCATTCTCCTACGTTTAACGGGAGGAGGGGTTGGTCCAGCCCTGTGGGGCGCTCTGCATAGGGCTAATGCAGTTTACTCTGTGATGTCGCCCCATTTCCCAGAAGCACAGTTAGCGACACCAAATCTTGGTACCATCACCACGGATTCCCACAGATTGAATTAGGCTGTCATTGCTCTATAGTTGCCAGAAATGTCTACACATTGTCCCACCTGAGCCTGGGATAGCAATGATATTCCGTAATCCCAAAATGCTCCATCTGTCGAGCGGCCGCGGTCTGTCCTTCCCACACCACTTGATGGTGAGATTGAGCTTGAAGAGGAAGAAAAAAAGAGTCATTTGCCAATGAAAGCTGATGGGATAGATTGAGAAAGAAAGAGAAAAGACCCAAGACACCTGAGAAAAGTTAAGGTTTGGTGAATATCCGGCTAGGTACCTCGGGCCCCCGATGGGATGGCCTTCCATACAAGCCGTAGAGTTGGACAGAAAATAGCAGAAGAATGTTCCTACTGTAGGAACGCAGGGGACACAGCAGATATTGTTATCACGAAAACGAATGCACTTGGAAAGTGGAAGGTCGTTTCAAATTAGGGCAGTGAACATTTACGTATATTGTCACGAGTAGAACATACGGTATATCAGTAATTTCTAACCATGAGGGTTTTATAAACATAAAGTAAATCAAATCATCCGTTGACATTGAATTATAAAAACTGACCAAGGAACTCTCATGAGCAACGTGCATTTCTAATAAAATGATGTATATAAATATTGGATCTGAGGGTTCCGAAGTTAGTCTGGTCTGGGGCTACTCTTGACTTGACAAGAGCTCGTCGTTATGGTATCGATAATGTAAGTTGTTATTCAGTCTTTATATCCATTGTTGTTCATTCATATTTTTCATTGCTACCCATAATGTTTCATGCTATTATAAATATTGTTATGTTTGAATGTAGTCTCGTACTTTCAGTTACCCCTAAACTATTAGTGCCTATTTGAATATTACCTCTCGCAAAATATTAAGCCAAGCATTAACCCTTATAAATCGATATGGATGGCTTAACCATCTACTATATCGTAACATGGTGGAAACACCATCTCATTTACCGTGACAATATGAACTCGAAAAATTATGAGGTATAGAAATAGTAGGTTTATTGGCAACAATAGGAGATCAGAACTGCGTAAAGAGAACAACAAAAGTTAAAAAAGAGTGTACAGGCATTCTATAAACGGAGTATAAGCTCAGATGTGAAGGTCAAAGTGATCATCAGTAAAGTGATAGGCCAGATGATTAATGGGCGAGCTCCTTCAGCTGGTCCCCGCCGATCCACACGTTCTTTCCAGATTTGGACTGTTGAGGCTCGGTGGGGTCTTCCGGCGCTGAGGCTGCCCCTTGAATCACCTGTGGATAGTTGGACCTATTGGGAAAATTTTATCGCCTCTGCAAGGTTAGTGTTTATTTCGACCACAACCAACAGCTTTAACGGCCTACCGTTTTTATAAAGGGATCAATTCCCCCATTTGATAGTGTGAGAATCCTCTGACTTCATGGCTAATTACGGTACAAACATATCAAAACTCGTTTTCCAAAGTTGGAAAAGTTGCAGATCATATTTCTCAAGCAGCCAACATGGCTAAGCGCATACTTCAACACGATACAATAGTATGCATTCAGACGATTTCTATAGTATCTATACATGTGAATATAATTTCAGAAGACTGAAATGATGTCCTATCCCTGTTCTGAAGTTGAAAAACATAACAAAATCTCTCCAAAACAGATATCCATTGGTTTGCTTTCGATAAGTGTCATCCGATAAGTTTTGAGAACAGTATGATTATAACAAACGATTATTTTTTGTTTTGTGGATACCTACCTGATTATTCAAAGGAAGGCATCTTGTTATGACTCGGCCATAAACTGATGGCATTTGAGTTTTCCATAGTCGTATTTACGTTCAAAAGTCACTCACATAGTGGTACGCTTCTTGCCACTCACTCAGTAGGTACAAAATTCATTATACGTAATGAGACAAATATATTCGTTTTAAATCTTGATAGGTTGTTTTTAGATTTTCCCTACACAGAAGAGTTTCCAACAGAAATTTTGAAGAAATTAAAATTATAAAAAACAACTCCCACAAAAATAAAATGATTGAAATCTATAGAGGGTGATTCATAATGAAAGCTCATTGAAAAATAGAAGGAGGTTCTATTAAGGTACCCTCTGAAATACATTTACGAAATACAAGTATAACGTAGTTTGCTTAGTCCCTGAAAAGGGGACACTAAAACAATGGGTATTTATGTGAATAATAAAACTCAGGGGGTGGGTGTAAAAGTACAATATTTCTTTATTGTTGGTTGAGGTTGGTTCACTTCATATGGTGGTAAGTGGTGGTTAATTCTGAGAACTTTAAGCAGTGATTTATGAGCAGCAAGTGATGACTATTACAGATGAAACCATGAAAACCCTATCCAGAGTGCAAGTTGCAGTGGAAACTTACCCAGCTTTCCCTCTGGTATCGATACCAAAAGTGTACAGGTTGATCACTAGATATACTATACTCAAACTATGCTAATACTGGGTGAGGTCAATGCATTATATCCTGAATTAGTGCAAATAAAAGAAGGACTAGATACAGCTCACTTTGAAGGATTTTAAGAGCTGACAGTGGCAGCTTGGAGCAGGAGTGTCCCACAGCAAGTAAGACAGGTAAGTGCTAGATATAAGCAGTCTGGCCTGCTCAAGTCAGCTTCGGATCCACAGGTCAAATCGTTGGCTACCCTCTGTTTTAAAACTACAATTGACATGCTAGGCAGGAGGTATGTGCAGGCTGGTGTACCCAGGGTACCATGCAGAAAGCAAAAGCAAAGCAGGCAATAATATAAGCATCTGTGGTTATAGCAGTAAGTACACTTATTGATGACTACTAGAAATCCTTTTTTTTTTTTGGCCCTGCAAGTAATAATGCTACTATGTAGAAATTCATAAAATAAGCTGCAGAAATGCTTGATTCAACCCATACCTTGTTCTCAGGTGGCCAGATGTATCAACTACAGCAAGTTGTGAACATGATATCTGATAATCAAATTCTGACTAGGAATTTTATCCCTTGGCAGGTAGTAGGCAGTGGACCGTCCTTTGACTACTTATATTTCCTAGTAAGTTTTGATTATACAATTTAAATCCGCAATAATGCGATGGCACGTTTCAATACCTTCATTGGTTATCAGAAAAAGCCCTGTCAAATATCACTATCTTCGCGGGACTTTCCCAGACTCCCGCCAAAATGACCCGCTTGTCAGGTTATACAGTTTTAGGTTATTAGGTTGAGTTAGAAGTTATCTTATTTTCAGGTTGAGGACTAACTAGGTATTCCAGATAGAGCAGAAGAAGAAGATGACAAAACCCAGAGTCCATACTAGTGATAACCTTCAACTAATATAGTAAGGTTAATGGTGGATCAATGTTATTATTTTTCTACGACTTGATATTTCTACAAGGTAAGATCAGTATATTGCAATTGTTGTTGATTATTCACCAATATATATGTATTTCACAGATTTGGACCAGAGGAAGCCCACAGTAGAGATCGGACCGAGGATATCGAAGTTGATGTCATGGGTAAGTAACAATGGGTAAATGATTCCTTTTATTAATTGTTTCTCATTACTTTCCAGGTATGCTGGATCTAAGCAGTACTCGAAAGAAGGTGGAATATCAAGCATGATACCTAAATGATCTGTATAACGATTGAATAAAGGATATTAGATAACTCTGCTTCTAGTCTGTGTACATACTTACATTAAATCAAAGTGAAACCATAACACAAGGTATTGCAATTTGAAAAACAAATGTTTCGCGAATATCTCTGGACTCGTTCATCGCACAGGAAACAGCTGCTTTTGAGCATTTTCAAACCATAACGAACAATATTTTTGCGAAATTATTCTTTCTCAATTCATAATTGGTAAAGACTTTGAAGGGGTAGTAAGTGTTTTTCTCCCCAACTTGTGCGCCACTGGGAAAAGAACAGTTTAAATAGGTAAAATAAAATGTATTTGAGGAAATTGACCATGTTCGTCAACAAAAATGTTGATTTTTATCGAAAACGGTCAGCTTCTGAGCTCATCATTAGGAGTACTTTTTTGGGAAGGAAACATTGGCAGTTCGAAGGGGCGGCTCAAACTGAACTTCTTTCAGGGAAGTGATAATAATAATAATAAAAATGTTTATTGAAGTTCAAAATAATAAAAATACATGTGTTTATATATGATTGTACTCCAAAAGTCAAATAGTTGGCACGCCTTTTTTCATATTTGCCTTGGGTGATTCAAATCACAAGGATTAATATACAAATACTGCACCTACATAAGGTATGAGCATTACATGACAATACATAACAATGAATAATGAGATTAACAATCAGAATCAAAATAATAAGTCGGAGACAAAACTAAAATTATACAGTGCATATTATTGGTTCATTGATAGTATATGCAGTTTGAATGATTTTTTGAACATTTTCATATTCAGAGTACTACTGAACAAATGTTCATACATATTTATCATCATAGGTGCAATATATTCAAAGCAACCTTGGAATTTGGATGAACGATGTTGGGGTATAGTAAATGAATCAGCATTTCTAACATTTGCTGTATGAATGGTAGATCTTCTGATGAGTAATTTCATGCAAGTACTTGGAAGTCTCAGTAGACAATACCATATAAACAATTGATGCATATAAACATGTTACCAGTTTCTCAATTTTGAGTATTTTAATTTCATTGTGAAATGGTGTTATGTGATCACGTCTGTTGATATTTCTATTTGAAAAGGGTAAACAGTTATTTTGCATTACTTGCAGTCTATTACGCATCTTGATAGTAGACAGGTGCACAATGGTCGATATGTGTAAGTACTAGTGAGTTAGTTAGATTCCATTTAGTAGAAGGTGGCAGAATGTTCCGAAATTCCCACAAAGATCTGTATTTCAAGTAGCAAGTACGAATTTTGTTGAGAATATGTGGACCAAATGTGAGATTTTCATCAAAAATTATTCCCAAGTTGTTCACATTACTTTTCACCTCCATTAATACATTATCAACACTGATAGGTACTATCTGTTGAGATTTACATTTGGCTATAAGTGACTTAGTACCGAAACAAATCGCTTGCGATTTATTTGGGTTCATTAAGAGACCATGATCAACAGAATATTTACTAATACTCTCAAGTACTGTGTTCCAATTGCCTATGCTTTCATCCACATTCTTATGATGACAGGAACCATAGATTTGAACGTCATCAGCATATAAATGAATATTGAAGCTACTGTCTGAATCATGTACAATATCTGCTCTGGAAATCACAAACAGGATAGGGCCCAAAATACTTCCCTGCGGTTAGAAGTAGTAGAAGTTGGGAATAAAAACAAACACTACCCCTTCAAAATATTCACAAATTCATAGTGAGTGAAAAGTTGAGATAGGGACATGTAAACCGTTTTGACGAATCATGAACAGTTTCGACAGAAAAGAATCCTGAACTTGGAAAATCTCGATTTTGCACACCCTATACATATGTCAGTAACTTTCACTGCTAGACCCTAAGTATGATACGTCATTGAAATCAGATCTTCAGGGAGAATCCAGAAATGAAATAAAATATAGGGTGTTCCGATGAAAAAAACATAGCTTTGATGTGCTGTGACCTTACGGAACACCCTGTGTATTTCAAAGAAATTTTGAAATGTGAAGCTTGGTTATCTCTTTAATTTGAATGCAAAACTTTATTTTGTATCTCTCAAGACAACAGAGGTATCGAACTCTGGATTCTTAGTTGGCCACCCTGTACATGCTTATTTGCCATCGAACTTCACTTAAGCCGCTGACCCAACGTGTTACGTTCGTATTTCTCTCTTTCATTTTAATCCAAAAAATTAAGTTGACGAACTAGAGCAATATCTATACCCTGGCCGACCTAGGTTCTGAGTGCACGAGCCGTCACTGCATCTGAAAATAACCGTGAGAAAATGTTTGAATCATTATTACAAGCCAACGGACATGGGAGATATGGCAACAGAGTTTTGACCACCATCTCGGCCGCCATCTTGGATACCGGACTTCTGGTCCAAATTTCACTTTGGCAACATAAAATGCTTCTTGCATTGTTGAATTTTGAAAACGGGTCTAGTCTATATCTATTTATAGTTCGCGCATCTCAGAGGCCAAGCTACATTTGCCAAGCTGTACTTACCGCCGTGGTCCTGCTCCTAGTCAATATCCCGGTCAGGTGCTTCCCGCCCGCCCCCGCCTGCGAATCGGCCCGCTTCGAGCTGCTACGCAGTTCCAACGAAGAAAAAAAGTCGTCAGCCTTGAGGTCGAACGATTCGTCGGGCGGCAGCAGCTGGCTGGGTGGCGGCGATTTGGGCGGATCAGGGACTGCGCCGCCGCCCTTGACGCAGCCCGCCTTGCGGTGGCCCACGTAGTTGTCTATGCCGAGCACGGTCGCGTGGCATCTCAGGCAAAAGTGGGCGTCGTCTTCGTACTCGTCGGCGATCATTTTGTCATTTTTGGACCCCTCTGAAAACAAAAATGTACGCCACTTGAAGTGAAGGTTTCTTTTTTTCAACAAACGTCAAATAATGATAAGGTTATCGCATTGAAAAATATGCGATATGACAATTTCTTCCACTTTGCTTCGTTGGAATAGTATATTTCATTACGAGTTTGGAAGTAGGGATTTCTTCGTGCGCGTTTGACGTGTGAGGCGATGCCGAACACGGGAAGTCACCCAAGCACGGAAATATCATTTCTGGACGTGTAATGAACGATATTATGCATAACACTCAGTTGAAAATAAAAATATAATAATGAAATATCACATAAAAAAGACAAAAAAGAAACTTGGAACATTTTTATTCTCACCAGTTGTAGAAATGAGAACTTGGAAATACTATAGACGGATGGATTTTACTGGTGATAAATTCTAAGTCGCTTATGCCGCTTGCTCTAGGATAATATCAGGAATTTCGGGATTTTCTTCTGAGGTCATTTTGTCGGCATAAATTTGATTGACAGAGAATAAACAATGCTACAATACAGTGTTTGGCATGTATGATTCGTTTAGATGGATATTCTCAAAGTTCTTCCGTGCGCTGTATCCGTTCGCTAGGAAAAAGCCCATCCTACAATATTACTAATATAGATAATAATTTTCTTCGTACGACTTCAAAAACAATCAGAACGTCTAATAAATATACGTGGATATACATAGAGAAACTCCGCCAATCAGACATTTGAAATTATTTCCATAGTAACTAATTCATATTGTTACATACAAAGAAAGCGTGTCGTAGAATGTTGATGTCCGTTCAAAACTACTCAAAAAAATAATCTCATCGAATACAGTTTCAACTTCAAAATCACAAAGAGAGAGGAACTCGAAGTCATTACCACAATAGTTCATGAAATGAACGAAAATGGTAGATAACGAGAGAAAAACAACTACTTTTCTGGCTATCTGCCACGCAGAACATTGGTTTTCGATTTTCATCGACCCGAAATCTGTGCAATAATTTGAATAGACGAATAAAATCGCAAGTGTTTCCTTCGTGGGTTATAAATGCTGGGATGTGTTTACGTTGGGTCAGTTTCGCACCAGATAGCAGTCAAGAATGCAATCTGGGATAGCCCTGCATGGATGAGAGCCAAAAGTTCGAAACTGGTCTGAAGGTAGTCACGCGTTCCTGAACCACATAGGCGCAGCCCGGCGTTGAGGGAGGAAACACTTGGGATATTATTCGTCTATACAAATTATTACATAGATTCTGGATCTAATTCATTGTTTTGCGTGGCATATACCCAGGAGAGTATAGTTGTTTTTCACTCGTTATCTACCATTTCTGTTCATTTCATGAGCTATCGTGGTAATAATTTTGAGGTTCTCTCTCTTTGTGACCATTGCATTCCACTTTGAGTATTTGGCTTTTTCTTAGTTGAATTTCAAACTATTAATGGTTATACATCTCAAACTTCCTGCATGAATACAAATCGTGTCAGTTTAACAGGATAATCCTCAAGTTTCACGGTCGGACCATTTCAACTGTCAAACTAACAATCTTTCTTATTATGCAATAAGTTATTGATGTATAACCCTAATATTTTGAAGTACTTATAGTATTACTACTGATAATAAAGTGCTTTCAAAAATGAATAACAAAAAGAATCTACCATCCAAATATGAGTACCGAATAGAAAAGTTTTGCAAATTAGGAAACAAAAAATTCAATATACACAAACTAGAGGATACAAAATAATTCGATAGTTAAAATTCATTTTTGAAAAAAACAGAATATATTTGAATGCTCCAAGAAGGAGGAAATGAATTCAGAATACATCAGATCGAATAATTCAACGCATTATACAAAATTATACAATTCAATAGACAAAAGCAAGAGGATACCAAATAAGCTGTCAGTGAAAATGCATTTTTGAAAAAAAAATTATTCATTTGGAAGCTTCAAAAATTAGGAAATAAACTTCAAATTACATCAAATCGATTAATTTATTGCATTATACGATGCATGGGGGCTAACATTTTCGCTCTCAACCAGTTGGCGCTACTAAAACGTGAGGTCAATGTCAAAGTCAAAAATCCCAAAATTTTGCCGGATAGCCCTAAAGGCTATGCCCTGTTCAATCGAGAATATTGAAAAACGTTTCAGTGGCGCGATGTGGTCTGGTGGGCAATAAATAATGTCAGCCCCCATTCAAATGCCCTGTTCAATCGAGAATATTGAAAAACGTTTCAGTGGCGCGATGTGGTCTGGTGAGCAATAAATAATGTCAGCTCCCATTCATATGATATGAAAGCGAGATTTATCTGTGTTTTGGATGAATGGAACTATAATAATATGCAACTTGATCTTGTAACAAGCAATTCTATAAGAAATTTGAAAATTCTATTTTCTTCAACAATGATTAATCATTCTGAAGATATCCAAAACACAAAAACAGACGAAAAAGTCGTCGGTCTTGGGGTCGAACGACTCGTCGGGAGGCAGCAGCTGGCTGGGCGGCGGCTCATGGGCGGCTCTGAGCATGCGCCGCTGCCCTTGATGCAGCACGACTTGCGGTGGCCCACGTAGTTGTCTAGGCCGAGCACGGTAGCGTGGCATCTCAGGCAAATGTGGGCGTCGTCTTCGTACTCGTCGGCGATAATTTCTCTCAGAAAAACACGTTTTTTGTCATTTTTGGACCCCTCAGAAGAAAATGAGGACGCCACTGGTGTAGATATTCAATTGTATCACTATGTCCTTGGATTCGGAATTCATTGTAAGTTATTATACATTAATTAAGAATTGATGATTAACGGCCGTTACTCTTCAATCAACAATCCAGGTCCATCGTTCTGATTGGTTTTTTCTCTATTCGAATCGCCCGCACATATGTGAGCGCACCCAGCAAACATTAAACTACCGGGAGAAGTATGGCCTATGGCAGTAAAGTCTGGGAATGTGACAATGCCGGGGTATTGGTGATGCATCTATGATTGCCTTATGCTAGGTTAGGTTAGGTTAACACGGTGGTTCGGGGTGGAACCCACGTAGGCCAGAGGCCCGTTGTGATGCCGTATGGGGTGGTTACCACCCCCCATCACTACCGTGAGAACCAGTAGCTGCTGTTAATGAACAGCATCAGACTTTTGATTCCAACTGACTGAAGATCGGATAGGTTGTCAAAATAGGGCTGCCCGAGAGCAGAAGATCTTTTCCTGGATAGGGCAGGGCAATGACAGAGTAAGTGGACGATCGTCTCTTCCTCCTCCTAGTCTTGACAGCTCCTACAGAAGTCATTACGTTGTAGGATTTCCATACGTGCAGCATAACATCCTTCAAGCCAGTGTCCAGTGATGGCCGCAATCGCTTTTCCAATGGAGCTCCTATAGAAAGAGATGAAATATCTCTAGTGCGTCTCAGGTTAAGCTGCGGCCATACCTGTCTAGAAGAGTTGCAAGAAGGCTCCTCCCGCCACCTTGGTTAGGCGGAGTACTTCCTTCCGGAGAAGCAACCCTCGTTCAGCGATTGGTGCCCCTGCTCTAGTATTAGCGGATATAGCTGCGAGCGTCGTACCAACTCTTGCTAGCTCGTCCGCCATACAATTGTCTGCTATGTCCCTGTGGCCGGGTACCCAGACAACATTGTCTCTCACTCTAGTCGCCAGATTATCTAGGGCTTTACGGCATTGTATAGCCGCCTTTGAGGTAGACTGAAATTAGAGACTTAATGGCAGCTTGGCTGTCACTTAGGATAGATATTTCATTGGACTCAAGTCCGGTTCGAATAAGTACCCAATTGGCATTTATAGCTATCATTTCGGCCTGAAAATCACTGCCGATGACCTTGTAATGGTGGGATGTCTGGAACCAGTTGAACACTAACGAGTTGTGGCCCATTTCATTATGGAATGGATGTGTTTGGTATCTCATAACCTCATATTCCTAGTGATCATAATAATTGGAGTGGCTCTACCCCTCCAGGAGCATAACTATAATGTTCAACACGTTCGTTGCTATCAAGAGTAATCTAAGGTTGTGTAAACCTGTCCATATTATAGAAGTGAATAACAATAAGGTTCCAACTACAGAAATATCTGTGCCCAAAATAATGACGAGAATTGAAAAGCTCCATAGACTTCATTGAACAATTCATTAACTCAGTATTTCGTTTCTCATACTCCCATGGAGGAGGAACTCGGGAAGAATTCTGATATCAAGGAAGGCCACGGATAACTAATGAAAAATTTTATATTTCAGAACTACCTACCTCGCAACGAATAACGCATTTTGTAGGAATGCTACCCAAATGAGATGTAGATGTAGATATCAGCCGGTAAGCAGCCACTATGAGAAGTTCTATCATGGAAAACGAGAGAGATATCATTGTGTCATTCATAAATGGTCTCCTTGAAATCTGGTATGTGTCTGTTTGATATAATATTATGAGAGGGTTACATTGAAAAATTTAGATTTACTAGAACTATCAGATTAATCGGAAAACCCCTACCTCGACAGTATGTAACCAATGTCGATAATTGGCCATTGCAGTCCCATCATTCATGTATGTGCTGGGCTTGCTATGGGAAACTCAATGCGTCGATTATGTTGTACTGTCTTTTTGCCGGGGAACTGGATATAATTGCTGGAGATACCCAGCACTGGAACCAGCTGCCGGCCGCAGTGTACTGATAAACAGATATGCATATGGGACCATTTACTGGGTCGCTGATGTCAGGTATGGGGAAAATACATTAGGCCATCAATGCCCCATATCGAAATGTATGCTAGGCAGAAAAAATTATCACATTCTGCAATTGTGAGTTCTCATATTTCATGGTCACTAACGGTTAAGATTTAGAAACAGTGAATTTTCATTTTTCTGTTCATTTGTAGAGAGGACACTGAGACACTAAGAATCATATAGGGCATGTCTTTCGAATTTGTGTGAATTTTACAAGCAATAATATTGTGCTATGCTTTCGAATAACACATACCTACATACTTGAATTCGACAACGACAAGA